AATTGAGGAGTTTACTGGACCATTAGGCCCAATAAGAGGATCCTGATCCATACTAAGTTTGAACTGGGTTATTAGGGTTTCAAACCCACAATTGAGTATATGAGTTGTATTGAATTAGGTTTTGGACTCACTCAGGAGTTTTGATTCAAATGGATGATTTTGATTGAGCATAGAACATGATATCCACTTATATTACAAGTCTTACAAGAGTTGATGGTTACATGAAAACATAATTTCCTAGCTAAAAATACTAGTTGTGACATATAGTGTAGAATCAAGGGCATATCAAGATGATCATCGACTGAGTATGAACTACAAAAACATGACTGTCACCCACATGATGAACCATTTGAACATACCGAGGATGGACGACCCCGAATATCCATATGTTAGGAGTTAGGATGAAAGGTTGAGCTCAAGGAGAAGTGGAGCAAGAGGGAGTGGGCTTGGATGAGATGAGGAAGAGAATGAATAATGATTATCCTTTTTGTTTCATTTTTAATTTGTGTGGTTGTTTGAGACAATTTTTTTTATTTTGTTTGGTTTTTTATATTTTCCTTGTTGGTTGGTTGGTGTTTTGAAACTTTTAGTTAATTTGGGAATATTTAGAACTTTTATTTGTTTTCCGTTTATTACATGTTGTGTGTTTTTGATCTTTTTCAGTTTAGGAGTGAGCAAATAAGTTCAAGAATGGAGAGTAAAGAATAATCGAGAGAAGTCGAGTTTAGGCAAGAGAAATAAGAGTTTTGAGTCCAAGTATGAGTCTGATCATGAAAGGAGCTAAAGAGTGTTTATTTACTGAAGAAAAATAAGGGAAATTATTACTTTGATATTACCTAAATACCCAAAGAAAATGGACCTGAATGCAAAAGAGATTTTTGCCCATACAACGATGACTCATCGAGTGAATACATACAACTCGATGAGTAGAAGAGGAAAAACACGTTTTTCTACCATTATAAAGATAATTCACCGAATCTCCACATGAACTCGATGAGTTGCTCATCATCTTGTTTTTCAAGCTGTTAATTCGATTTAATTTGACGCGGTATTGGTTATATTCTTTGAAGATTATTTTCCGAGCATTTTCGAGATTTTTCCCTTTATATTTGGAGCTGTACACACGAGATTCTGATGTTTGAAGTATGGATGGGTTGTTCCCATGCTTAAAGTCAATTGAAGTTGGAGTTTTACAAGAAGAAGATCAACCTCACCACTACTATCCTAGGGGAGTTTGTTCTAATTCATTATTTACTTTATTTTTCTTTATCATGCATAGTATGTAATGGGACATTGCATAAATAAGTGTGGGGTAGGGGGTAGGTTATATTAATTAATTTAGATTTTTAGTTAAATTTTGAAAAAAATTTCATATAAAAATTTCTAGGTTAATTTAGAAAATTTGGTAAAGGAATTAGGATTCATGCTAGTTTTGTGTTTGATAATTGTATGAGGACCCAAATGTTTAGTTGATCCAATACACGTTCTAGTGTATTTGTGGCCCCTTTATTATAGTGAAATCAAGGGACAAAAACACAACCTCGCTTAGTTTGAGCGACGCAACATGTTTAACATCGTGTACCAGAAATGTATCTAGGAAAGCTTAAGTAGTCATTGCACACTAAGACTAATACCTTTAACCAATAAATGATGAAGTTAAACACTCTTGCGTAGGAATATGTTTTTTTCTCTAGGTTTTTAGTTTGAGTGAAAAAAATGTAAAAAAGAAAAAAACAAAGAAAAGAAAAAAAAAATAGAAAGAATAAAAAAGTGTGATGAAATGTTTGAAAGGAAGACTCTATAAAATTTGAAGAAAAAGAAGAAATATCAAGATGAAAAGCTACAAATTATTGAAGATACAAATTATTAAGAATTTCTATTGTAATGTTTTCTTTTCTAGGTTATTCTATCATATGTGTGTATGGGGGTTTAACAAAAAATGGATTGAGGTTAAGAAACTTTTTTGCAGATGGATTCGGAGCGATGCATAAAATGAGTGTTATTCAAAAGAAGTGGGCGAGTGTTTATGAGTATTGTAAGTATTTAGGATTAGGGGGGTGGTCCTTAGGAAAACAATTTAGACACAAATGCATGTGTTGTGGTCTTGGCATAATGGATGGGTTTGATTAGGATTGTCTTATGTCGTATTTGTGTGCTAAAATTCGGTTTTGCTTGGGGGCAAGAAAAATTCAAGTGTGGGGTATTTTGATATGTGTATATTTAGTCATGTATTATGTCTAATATCTTAATACTTTTTGGCTATTTTCTCTCAGTTATTGAACAAAAGGTACTTAATTATGTTTGAATTATATTTTCAGCGTAAAAGATATGCTCAAGTTAAAAAGGAAGCGAGACTACTAATCGGAAGCTTGTAAATTAAAGATAGAAGAAATTAAGCAAAAAAATGTGAAGAACTCGGCGAGTTGGTCCTCAAGTCAACGAGTTGATGAGAAGATTCGCGAACCATCAAATGCCTTACCGTACAAGATGTACACGGGGGTTAAGTGATGGACTTGTCGAGTTGGTCAAAGGGACTCGACGAGTTGCCCGTGTTTTCAGAAAACTATATAAAGGACAATATTGCGCGAAACAAGAGGTTTTTCTAAATTCTTTTGGTGACTCATTGGAAAATAGAAAGATTCTTTGAGCTCTAAAATTCGAAGATCAACCCTAGAGATCAATTTGGAAGAGATCGAAAGGAAACAAACATTCTCTTTTCTTAATCTTTTACATACACTTTGTTTTTGCTATTTGATTTCATTTTTGAGAGGTTATCGGTTGTAGATATGAGCTAAAACCTCATTACTTTTGTTTGGAATAGATAAGCTTAGGAATATGGTTTGATTTTATGGTATTGGATTAATTGGTTTTGGTGAATTGTTTTGTTAAGCTTGTTAAATACCCATATGTGTTGATAGTAATTATTTTCTGTTAATTATCAAGTCTATTAAGTTGCATGAACATCTCCTTAATTGCTTGCTTCATATGATTTTTGTCAAAACAATATTCTGTGCCTAGTATTAGTGAATATGAACCTAGGATTAATTAGAAAACAAGTAAGTCAATGTGTGAGCTTGTGTGATGACCAACCACACAAGATGTTGATTGAATTGATAAATTTAATTTGCTAATATTACAAGTCTTACTTAACCCAAATTAAATGCTAGGAATATATTAGTTTAATCAGTTGGCCACTATTTGAATTAGTCAATCTGCTAAGGATTAGTAAACATGAATCTAATCACATTAGAAATCGGTAGCCAATGATAAATTAATCCATTGCACTTGCCATAAAATCAACCATAGGAATAAGTGAGTCAAATCTAAACAAAAGTCTCTTTTATTATTGAGTCTAGTTACCTTTTATTTCCTTTAGTTGTTAATTGTTTTTGTTTGAGTTGTAGTTAATTGATTAATTTTCTAGTCTTGCAAAACTAGAGAAAACCCTTCTTTTTATTACTTGTTCTTAGTTAGATAATTCTAGTAGGTAGTTTAATTGTTACCGTTCTCTGTGTTCGATACCCTACTTGCTTGAATGGTATTACCAATTGATAGGTACACTGCCTTTTATGTGTTTAATTTGTGTTAAAATAGTAGGATTAAAACTAGTGTATTCGACACACATCAAGGACTTTAACAGAGCCTCAAGATGATGACCCACTTCGGAATGAGGAGGAAGATATTGCTGCAACTTCAGAACCAACTCCTACAAAACAAATTCCGAAGGTATCATCTCTACCATCTTCATCTGTTCCTAATTCATATATCTTTCATACTACTACTCACTAACCTCACAAATTACCTCCACGATTCCAATTTCCTCAATCCCTCCGTTACCACCAATGAGCTTTGTTGGAATATCTCTTCCTTAGATCTCAATTCCTCTATCCTCACCTATATTTACCGCTCCATGAACCCTACTACATAACCATTCACAAGTACCCTGTAAGTCCTTTTATCCAAATCCATTTCAAAGGAGGTACATACTTTAGACGTTCATGTCCACACATCTAATGCGAGAGAAAATGTCATCACTGGTGTGACTTCCGAACAGGGCACCTCCACTACTCATCCTTCTAACGACACTGATGATATTCTGTTCGAAGAAGATCAGGATACATTTACAGATTTTATCTTTAGCCCATTCACAATAAACGTCAACAGTGATGACGATGACGCTCTGATGACCAACGGTCAATACAAACAGTAGAACAAAAAGCTTGACATAATCCTTGTGAAATCCAACGCTTTCTCTTCTATGAAGTGGGAGAACTTATTAACCACTCACAGAGCAACGTTTGAATTGCTAACTGCTGAAAATGCCAAATTAATTGTACCTTCAACCAAGATTATTCAAGCTTCAGAATAGACCATTTCTAAAACGACCGAAAAAGTAAAAAAAAAACTACATCAAGAAGTGAAGGATTTCATGACTGATTTCCGAACGTCGTCGGATAAAAACACAACTTCTATGAATAAAGTAATCACAAGATTTTAATCCTCTTTTCAAGTTAAGAAGTAGGTTCTCTCACTCATACGTTCAGAAACAAAAGTTGAGAATGCTGAACTTAATTCTTCCATTGTCTCAAAGAGTGAAAAGTTACAAGCAGATTTAGTAGTTGAAAACAAGATTATGGATGTGTTAGCCGAGAAAACTCAGAAGACTAAAGTTCTTTCTAAAAAGTTGGAAAATGCTACCCAAGCCAAATCCAAACTTGAAGAAGAGTGTTCTTTAATCAAAGGGTGCATTTCTGAAGTCAATGACTACTTGAAATGGATTGTTGAAACTCAACATTCGTTCTTCACTTCAGCCGGTGGTCATAATGCTCAATCAGATAATCGGTGTTTTGGGAAGCGGGGCTTCTATGAAACAAGGGGGAGACAAGGACCAATATCCTAAGAATGAAACTGAATAAAAGGATCATGTAGCTTCAAGTTCGGACAAAGACAAAGACAAAGGCAAATGTATCTTGGAAGATGACAATGATGATAATCTGAAGATGACCGAATCCAAAAGGATTGCCATGGAAAAACGAGACAAAGAGCTAGATGATCTCCAAACTCTTGGGAAGAAATTTGAGGCGGAAGAAGCTAAGGATAAAAATGAGAAAATTGTGCTTGAAAATCAGAAATCACTATTTTCTTCTTGGACTATGGAGTGCATTCCGAAAGAAGCAATTGATGATGCTAGTTTCTATTGGCTGGAGCCCTCAATCACGTTTGACATAGAAAATGATGTGGAAAGTCAATTCAATTTTCCCATAACTCCAAGGGATTTTCTCTTTCGTTGTTTTGAAAGCATTGATAAGTCTTTGATCTCCGACAGTGTTGTAAATCAGAAGCTCTTTTCGTTTTACTTGAAGGTTGCCAAAGCACAATACGAGACTTGGAGCTTGAAGAGAATAGTGTCTGTGAAGCCTGGATTTCCTGTTCAGACTGAAGACTTTCTGAACATAGAATTCAAGGGATTCAGATGAGCTAATCACATTCTAGATGAGTTCACTTTGGCGGACCTACCATTTATGAACCTATATGATTGGATCTCCTTGATCCACATCGTTATGAAAGAAAAAAAAGAAGTATGAGCCTATCGTTGCACATTTGAAAAGGATGATTATATGCTACTTCCTTGAAATTGCGAAGATGGATGTTGAGATCGATCCGTTCTAAAAAAGCGACCAATTCCGAAGCCGGAAGAGCAACCAAAGTACATTCAGAAGCTGAAGGTGCGAATTATCTGAATAGAACATTGGAGCGTAGTCTATAAGAGAAAGATGGTGATGTAGTTCAGAACAACATGTTCTTTCTACAAGACAAAACCCTTTACTCCATAGCTGATTTCAAGACTATTCCTTCTATGGCTAAAGTAAACAAAGCGAACTCTGCTGCCGACCTTAAATGAATTTCGAACATGATATGCTGGTAGTTATGTGTTCAAAAAACTCTTCTGAATTTAATGCCAAAATTGTTTGAAATGCAGAAAACACACCAATGAAGACTCTCCTTCTGATTTGAAACAAAGTGGGAGATTGTGAGGTTTATTATGTTTTGTGTCAAATGTTTGCTTTTATAGTTTTGTTTATTCCAAAATGGGACTGTCTAGGTAGTCTAGTCTATATATAGCACATGCGTATAATATATTAGGCTTACACTTTTAAACCTAGTGCCTTTTGTAAGCTCTCACAAAAAAGTTCTGTCTTTAAAGAACTCTTGGAGAGCTATTTTAATCCAAGCATTCGACACACTTATGATCATTGTTTTCTTGTCATTAATTCATCTCTTAAATATATAATCTATCGATCTTTATTGTTTTCACAAGGAAGAAGGAAGATTATGGATACAATGAATTTTTTTTTTGCTTGTGAGTTAGTTAAATATGGCTACAGCGAGTGGATCTAGATTTAGGAGATAAATTCAAAACATAAAGGTGTTCATGATTAGGAGGTAAATTTAGCAATTCAACATTCGATTAACAAAGTTAATAAGATCAACTTAGTGCCTTCACCTGGTCCAACTAATCCATCTTCCTCAGATAGGACAAGCAAGAGCAATATCTCCAAGTATACTTTGTTCCTCCTTCCATATGACACTGTATACATAAAACAATAAGCTACCAATAGGTGTTGATCCATTTCAACACATGTTCATTTGGAAACCAGAACATAGTATCTTCTACCTTGATACTCATAATCAAATATACCTTCAACGCACTGAAGATATTTTTGCTGCTTCCACTGAGCATCTGCTCAATCTTCATTTGGAAATCATGCAACATAAAGAGCTAGAACAAGGATATCATGTGCTAATCTCTCTTGAACTAAATTAACATTTGGCTGATCTTTACCTTGATGACTTTAAGTTGTTGAAGCCTGAGATTTTCATAAAAGCTGAAAGGTTATCCAATGATGATTTTGAAGATTCCTTTGAAGATTAGTTTTTACATCACTAGATAGGGGAGATGGTAAGGTTACACCTTATGATCTAATGAGTCAAATACATAACACATTGTTTACTAGTGCTGAACCCCGCATAAGCTTGATCATCAACATTGTGATCCCAATGATCTTAGTGATCGTTTGTATATTAGGTACATATACTTTGTGTATGTAGAATAGACATCTGATTTATTATCTTAGTGATTAGGATCAGAGCTTTACATAGAATAGTATACATTCCCAAAATAGTGGGTCTCTGTTTTTGTAATCGTATATAGTGTACTCTATGGGTTAAAACCTAATAGAGCCTTGTGCCTCACTTTATACTACTGTTCTCTTTGTGAGAACCTTTTCTTAGTGAAAGTATCTTTGTAATCATTTTGTTCTTCTATTCTTTGTCTGTTCTTCATCACTTATACTTGAGTGTATCCGATCGATACAAACCTTGAATTGTTCATTAACATACAAAATCATTTTCCTTAATTTAAATGATTAAGGGGGTTGAATAGTGAATCAATTCTTGTAACACCCTTTGCATGTACCTATTTGACTCAGCCATTAATAAAATCTTTCAAAACAATTTCAGAGTTTTAGTTTGCGTAAAAATGATTTCCAAAATTTAATTCAGATACTTTTACAGAGTTTAACCGTGGATAACGATCCCAACTAAAATTTCCTAAAAGAAAAACATTTAGTGGTTATTACAACAATTCATGTGAGAGTGTACAACAGATATCAAAACAAAGGCTTAAGAAAATATTAAAAATTAAAGTTCTTCTGAATATCCACAACTCATAAGTCTCCTATGCTTCTGACAATATCTACTAACAGGAAACAATTTATCAACAAGTGGGTTAGGCTATGCGGACCCTAGTGAGTATGATCTCCAAGGTTAGCCGTTATGGATGGTGTATGAATGAAAATTATGGTTCATACAAGAATATACAAGCCCATACAATCTTAAATCACCAAAATAAACATCAAAAAGTCAACTTGGGGTAAAACATTATATTATTCAACATACATTGTCATTTATGACAAATCTCAAATAAGTTCACAAGTGAATAAACAATATGAGCTAGATGTACCTCAAGTAAAATCTTATCGACAATCAAAATTCAAACAAGATCTTATAGATCCAAATAATACTCATAAGAATTACAAAACACTCGAATACAATAATCCGATCAATAAACAGTTGCACAAAACTTTACACTTATCCACACACACACACACACACATATATATATATATATGCATATATATATATATATATATATATATATATATATATATATATATATATATATATATATATATGTATTCAAGAAGAACAATCCAAATGGATAATGCAATGCATGCAACTATCACAACACATGTCATTCTCAAAGTGCAACTCACAAAAATCATTGAATATGAAGAGCCCATTACACACAACCAACTTTTGTTCTCACATTCGAGAACAATAGAATCATGGCTAGGTGTGAAGAACGCACGGCAACCAAAACTACCGAGCCGTCCTTACTCCCACAACAAACAGGCACTAGGGGCCATCCAACCTTGGCTACATGAGGGGTATCGAGCCTCTACTCATGCACATGAGGATTATATAAATCTACTCACAATGAAACAACAAAAAATGTCCAATTGGGTACCTGGGACCACAAAGTCACACCCATCCTAGCTTAATATGCATGTATGCAACAAATAGGATGCCAAAATCTCTCTTTCTCTCTCTCTCTCTCTCTCTCTCTCTCTCTTCAAAATAAGCATTTAGTTTTATATATCAATTAAAAGCATTTATGAAAATAATATTTATTGAATGTACAAATAATCCCCATACACGCAACTACCAATCAAGTATATGTCAAATAGTTTCCAAAACACAAATCAACACTAAGGGATGTGTACTCCCAATATTTCACATGAAAAACCAAAAAAGAAATTATGCCCATATTAATAAAGAATAAGTTTAACCCCTACAAATAAATCAACTTCTCAAAACATGTACTTACTTCAAGAGGACATCCCCAAATAAAAACTATCATAACGAAATAATAAAACATATATTTTCAATGAATATACATATGTTTAACATAACACAAAAATGGAAAACACAAGTAGAATAGTAATTTTGGAGAAAAGCATTCCAAGGTAAGTGTAGTGACCTTAGGTCCTAAGTTTGCAACACCAAAGATCTTCTAATCATTATCTATGCCACTTCCTACTCCAAAATCCCCAAATAAAACAGCTAATATCATTACAAGGCGTCAATAGACTATAATAACCTTCTATGGGTCAATTTAACTTTCTAAGTTCAAAATACCTCAAAATGGTCTATTAATTCACTTATTAAGTTATTAATTCCAAAATTTAGTTTTTATGGTTCCAAAACATTCCTCATGTTAAAACAAGAATGTTGGCGAAAATCATGCTCGATTTTGAGCCTGTATGAAAATGTTATGACCAAAACATATTTTCAATTGTGACATGAGATCAGAGCTTCGGACATGACCCATGTCAAATTGACATGACCCGTGTCAAACCCAACATGTCAAATATGGAAAAACTTTCACTTCTAGACAGTTTACATTGGTCCTAATGCATCCAAACACCCTACAACTTACCCAAATGGCTGAAGGAGCTTAAAATACATGCTAAAACACTTCAATTGACATAATAAATGATCCCCAAAAGGTTCATATCCTTGGAATAAACATTACTTTCCAAATTGAAGAAAATTAAGTACATGAAGCTCAAATTGCACCAACTCATTATGTGCGAATGATAAATTGCAACCAACAAGACCAATCATAATTTCTACAACTTAAAACATATGAATTAAGAAGTCGTGAAGATTATCCACCTATTAATTGAGTTCAAGTCTTCATATGAACTTCGATGAAGCTCAACATCTCATAAAAGCTCAACAAAACACCAAATTGAAACATGAAGTAGAATATGACTTAGATTTTGGAGAATAAATCATCATCTAACTATGAAAACAAGTTGTAACAATATTTGATTCACCAATATTAGATTCATGAGTCCTAGAACTGAAAACACCAAAATCATCCCCATAGATGTTGGATTTGAACTAAACATCAATTGAATCTCACCATAAGTCACAATTGAGAAATATGTGACACCCTTGTTCTCTAACATCTAATATGTATGAGTTCTCAAAATTTTATTTACAAATGCAAAAATATACTCAAAACTTAAAAACTTTTAACATTCTAGGTTGAATTGATTAAACACAAAATAAATTTAACTATTTATATAAAATGAAGATTATAACAATAGTATCCTACTATTTAAATCTTGATCTTGTGCTCATGTCTATTCTTCCAGTACCATGACTGCTATTACGTAAACTTACAAAAAATAAATCTCTTCTACACCAGACACTAGGTTTGATGATTTATTTTACTATCTATTGTTACTTTCTTTATTGTAATCCATACTCGTCCTTGCAGTTACTTCTCTAACTCATCTCATACTCTGCACATATCTTTCTCTTTCAATATATTTAGCTATTC